GATGATTTCTCCGACATTGGAGTCACTTCTTTGCCTTTGCTTCTATTCATGATTACACCAACAGCATATACGTATGTGCGTGTTTGTGTAGGCTGCATGAACTATGGCATAGGCATGCTGCGCTTATTGTCCGCTTTGCACGCCATACAATTTGCGTAACACTAAACGGCACTGACACACAAGTTTTCTTCAGCTCTTGATATTACTTTATGTCCAAAGATTGTTTTTACGATAGCCTAGTGATCTGTCTTTTTGATTACGTAATGCCTTATCATTCATAACACGACGCCCTCGCATCTCACCCCGCAAGATGACTTAACCTCGTATTTATGTTATGTGGAAAGGTTAACTAAGTACCAGCTATGTACACATGCGAAGAAGGACCCATATGCATACAATGCCATCACTGCGGTGCAAAAACAGGTCACTGCAGAAAAAACGGGTTTGAGTCCGAGGGCTACAGCAGGGGCCGCCGGATTCATTCGTTTTGACCCAGTTTCTTTCCGATTACAGCGCCAGCTGCCTGGAATTTGGCAGCGCCGAGGGCGCGGCTCCGCGCCATTAGTCCTACCACACGAGCGCTATTTGGCCAACTTGCCATAAAAACCGGATTTGTCACAGTTTCACACCCGAAGTTAATGGTTTCATGCGGCAAACGGCTTGCTAACGCGGACGGGGACCTGGCGAAAGGTCGGAGAGCCACTGTATGGTCAACCGTAGCCCTTCTTCGCGTTTCAAAGGCCTTGCTTCTCATGCCCGGCATGCCCGCATGCCTTGCACAGGGTTAAGGCTAATTTGAAGCAGCAGTCAAGCGTGACACACAGCCTTGGACGAGCGATTACCGTACCGCCGCTCACAGAGCCGCGACAGTCTGCGTGCTGAGCGGCAGGGGGCCGGCGGCGGCTAGACACCGCTCCCTCGCATTGCCCCGGAAATGGGGTGCGGCTGGCAGAAGGCCGCGGTTTCATCATCATGTGCGCGGCATTGTTGCCAAGCTGCGGCGGGACGCGGCCGCTGGCCGTGACGTGAGAACCTTCTGCGGCGCTGGGGGGCAGCTGAGAATCGAGGTCACACCCTGCAGGGCAGGAGTGTTTGCTCAGGGACCGTATGCTTCTAATAGATATTCTAAAACCTACTAGCTACGGGTAACTCCCGTGCCTCAAAGTTAAAGGTGAAACAGTTGGCTATCGCCTCCCGCATGGTAGTGTTCTGCCTCGTGCCGTTTGGGAAGAGCTAGCTGCCGCAGAACGATTCTTGGACGTGGATAAATCGTTCGTGTCCCAATACGTTTGCAACTTGCAAATACATGGGCGTGGTGCAACATCATTGTGACATGACGGTGATGAAATATCACAACTCCTTCCCGTTTAAAATAGCCCTTGTTACTTTCCACATGCATATGAAGCAGTTAAACATCGTCAAAGCCTTGCGGTTCGCGTAACCCACTGCCCAGTCCCGCACCAAAATCATCATGACCAGATACCTGTCACTGTACGTGACACGCCTCCAGGCATCTACAGTGGCGTGCCGCTGCATGTGGCAAGTGTCCAGAAATCCACAGGGGCGTGCCACTGTGCGTGATTCGTCATCACCAATTCTCGAATCCGCGTCGTGATAACCAGGACATCACGGTACGACCCACTGGGTCTCGATGTCAACCGCACAGGAAAAGCCGCGTTACAGTCGCCCGCGGTGGCGGCGTAAGGTGAATGGGGTTCACCGAACCGACTGAAACCGGTGGACACGGGCGGGATTCGAGCTATGCGACTGAAACCGACTTGTGCCGACTTGATGCTAAACCTGCTGACCTGCTGCTGCTGCCGTAAACCTGCTGAAGCCGACTTGATGCTGACGTAAACCTGCTGAAGCCGGCTTGATGCTGACTTAAGCCTGCTGAAGCCGACTTGATGCTGACGTAAACCTGCTGAAGCCGACGTGATGCTGACGTAAACCCGCTGAAGCCGACTTGATGCTGACGTTAACCCGCTGAAGCCGACTTGAGCAGGCAGGAGCCGATCTAAGCCGACTGGAATCGGGTTGAACCGACTAGAGCCGACTTGTATCCTTTGGAGTAGACCGGAGCCGACTAGAGCCGATATGTATCGTATGGAGTCGACCGGAGCCGACCGGAGCCGACTAGAGCCGATATGTACCGTGTGGAGTCGACCAGAGCCGCCTGGAGCAGCCAAGAGTCGATGTGTACCGTGCGGAGCCGACCGGAGCTGACTAGAGCCGATCTGTACCGTATGGAGTCGACCGGAGCCGACTAGAGCCGATATGTACCGTACGGAGTCGACCGGAGCCGACCGGAGCCGACCGGAGCCGACTAGAGCCGATATGCACTGTATGGAGTCAACCGGAGCCGACTGAAGCCTACCGGAGCTGACTGGGGCGGCAGGGAGCCGACCGTCGGCTGCGCCTCCGGCAGGGACGGCGCGTCATTACATCACAGCCACCCGAGCTAGCCGAAGACGGCTGCCGGCCGGGCGGCGCCCCCCGCCCCGCTCTAATGGTGACCCCGCGACCTCAGACCGGCCCGTATCCAAGGCAACGGCCGGCCTTGTCCGCCCCTCCCCTCCTCTGCGGATTACACAGCTGGGAGAGTGGGATGAGCGGCGGCCGAAGCTCCATCAGTGTCGGAGCCGGGGCGGGCCGAAGACTGTCATCAGTCACCGCCGGCCAGACACGGCGGCGGCGACAGCGGCGCTTACCAATCCTCGCAGATGTCTCTATAGCTAGACCATTCAATAGCCGCTGCCTCCTTTCTCTCCGGTGCGTGAAGAGCGGCGCTGAATGTACGGCCACACGAATTGCTCTCCGTCGGGATAAACTGCTCTATTTGGGCAACGTTTTAATCAGCCCTGGACGAAATTGGCCCCGGCCATAATTAGCTTTTGGTTAATTGTTGGAGAGAAGAAGTAATCGGATAAGCCCAGCACGATCGGTTCGTGCGATTAGAAAAGTTGAAACTACCCAAAAGTGCAGGTGGTAAACAACGCTTCATCTGCCATCGCGTCCTCGAAGCGAAGCGTTTTTTTTTTTACATAACTTGTCGCCAACGCGTTTACATATCAGTGTGAGCTGTCATTGGGCAAGGTCCACGCTCTAGAATAACAAATTACCCTGACGACCTCACACCACGCACCCTGGTGTGATGAGCATCGGCGCTGGGTCAGCACGCCGCCACATTTCAGCCCCCCTGTCGACCTCACACCACCCACACTGGTGTGATCAGCATCGGCGCTGGGTCAGCACGCCGCCACGTTTCAGCCCAGAAATGACGCAAGCCCCAAACCCTCTGAGAACGGACAAGACGCGCCCAGGCGAACGATCTCAGTGGCTAAGTCTCGTACGTGTGATACTTGCTACTCAGACAGCTGGTGCTTCCGATGTCGAGTGCCTCTCCGCCTACCTTCTGCTGCAAGCGTTTTGCCATGCATTAATATGGGCCCCATGTGGCAACCCGGACTGTTGCACGGGCGGCAGGCATGAGTCTGTCATTGTGTCAGCTTTCGCCACCATCTGCACGTCGTGATATTTAATTCAGCTTTCACGATGAAACCGTGTATCTGAAGCCAGTGGGCCTGCGTGCTATGAGTGGTGAAGGCGAATTGCGCTGAGCCGGTGCGGAGCCCTGAAGAGGAAACAACACGTCCGGCCAATAAAGGGATGGTTCAAAGTACATACACCATGCCTGGATGCAGCCGGTACGCCAGAATAGCTACGTAGGGCTTGATAAGCACTACTGCACCATGCGTCATGTATGCGCAATTAACGTGGCAGCAAGAATTACACACAACTTCGCGACTTGTACCCAAAGCCTACCAGCGGTATTAATCGATGCCTTGAGAAAGCCTTGTGTACGTTTTCCATGACTGTGTGTCTGTGCATGTCACCAGAATGGTTCCGTCCCAAATAGAGGGCTCAGTCTCTAGTCCTCGAATGCCTGAGCTAGCCGTCGGTGCGTCCAGGAGTGTAGCTCTCACCTTGATGTTACCTATTTAAAAAACTTGGGATACACCGACAGAACCCAAGTCATGGTCACCGAACGTCGTTCAGTTTTGACGTGAACTCGAAAGGCAGCTCTTTTTTGCAGCTGTAGTTCTGGCCCCGGCAACGGAGGGTGAAGTTATTCGTTAACATAGAGGCAGCGGATGGCCAACTGCACCTACGGCCAACAGCGGATGGCCAACTGCAACTGCCAACTGTAACCCCGTCTGATCCGGCCCCTCGGATGTCATCGGAAGCCGCTCAAAGTAACCCGACCGCGCGCTGTCTGGCGTCCGCACCACGGCTGGACCAGGAGCGTCGTGACAGCGCACAACGCAGTGCCCGGTGTCGGCGTCGCGCAGCGTCACGCTCTCCAGGGCCGGCCGTTACGCGGCCACCGGCCGGTCGATCGTTCCGTCACGCGCGACGCACTCCGACAACTGCGACCTTGCCACCGAGACCGGCGGGAGGCACTCCACTGGCCGAGGCGCTGCCTCAAGATCACCGTCACGCCCTGCCCGGCTCTGGGTCCGCTGGTGACGGCAGGACCGGAAGTAATCACCGTCGATCGGACCGGGAAGAGGCCCGGCGCCGCGCGTCTGCCGACAAGACGGGCGCGGCCGGAACCGAAGGCCATCAAGCCCCGACCGGCCTACAAGGTGGTCCAGTTTCCGTCAGAGTGCACAGGCTGGATCTTTGAGCAAGGCCATCGCCAGACCAAGCAGCGCGGACCATCGTATTCGATAATACGGCGCCGCCGGGTTTTTGAAGAGTGCTAGGACTAATGGACTTGCCGGACGGCTCACTGACGGATCTCATTGAAAGGCCACCCAACCATCAAGGACGGCTAGATCGAACCGCGTGCACGTGCTATCACCGGGCACACAAAGCGTGGTCAGTGACACGCCACCGGGCGGGCAGCGGCCGGACACCGGCAGTTATCACGGCAGTTGAGACGGCGGAGACGGCGGGTGCCGGCCACTTTCGCTGCTGGCGCCCAATGAAAGCGGTCAGCCGTCTGGCGGCGGCGGGGGCGGGGGACAGCTGTTTGGTGTCCACTGCTGCGGTCGGGCGCCGCCGCCGGAAGAAACCGACAGTGGCTGTGGGCGGCGTCACGGTCCGACGGTGGGCTAGCTCGGTCACGCCGCTCGCAGCCGGCCGCAAGGGGAGGGGGCGGGGACGGCCGCTCTCCAGCACGGCGCCGCTGGGATGGCGGCGATGAGGTCGGGAGGAATGGCTGACTGCCCGTCTGTTTCACATGCTGCCCTTTAGCGGTAGTTGCGCAGCAGTCAGTGACAAGAAGTTCGGCAAAAAAGGATTGGGGTTGCTCAATCGCTCCAAGCTCGCCGTCCGGACGAGCTGGCGATATGCATTTGTGTATTCCCACAGTTCACCGAAATGGCGATAAGTCGTAAAGAATCGCAATGAATATCACAAGGCGCAACATGGTGTGTCTATTCTATCATACATTCCAGTACATACCATTCAACGCTAGTTCACTCGCGCTTGGTAACAATACTCCTTCAAAGGATCAATATCAGCGATATATCATCCTTTTCATGGTTTCAACGCCCTTTCACTTCAACCATAAAGATCTGGAGAGCATCGCTAATGGTGAAAGTGGGAAGACCATGGCCGTTCCTTTGATGATTGTCAGTCGGTGAAGCAAATTTAATTTCTCGCTAACCGCATCAATGAGCGTAATGGTATCAGTGGAGGGAAAAGAGGCAAATCCGCATGGAACCAGAGGGCGGAAATGAGGCGGAAATGAGAGACAGCCAACATGCATTGCATTGCGTAAAGCAAAGATGTGCTGAGAGGAGAAGACGCGTCAGCAGCAGGGGCGTCACCACATGACACGTTTTGAAATATTATTAAGTTAGCACAAGCAACAACGACGAGCAGTTTTTCTGTGAGGAAGCAAGGCTTAAGACGAATGTTGACATCATTTGAATAGCAGAGAATTTATCAGCCTTCGTTGAGAATGCTACTTGGAGTCGCGCCTTTGTCAGAGTTGACCGAACAGATAGAATCTATGGTCTTCACGGTAGGTAGATTAGCATAATGTCCGGACAGCATTTGATAGGGATCGTGTTCTAACACATTCACATCGTGTTCTGGCGTTTCAAACCATATTATGAAATGGCATCTCCCCATTTTGCTCCAATTAGGTCACATCTGAATCTTGCCTCCAGGCGTTGTGCGTCTCAAGGACTGTGAAGGTCGTCCCAGCTGACGTATCAGATGGTGCGTAATTGAGGTGTCCGGCGGCAAGCGCCGCTGGTGAAGAGAATGAATCACCCGGTCGAGATTCCATTGGGGCTACAGGGTGTCACGTGACATTTGGTACAGAAGGCAGATTCATCCGCTATCAAATACTCTTATAGCAGGAAATGACTGTTATTTCCCATTGTGAGGTCAGTATGTGGCCGCGTCGACAGAAGCGGCTAGAATATCTGCGTAGATGAAAAAGGTCATTTAGGAGAAACTTCTAGAACTATCGTACGACTTGGAATAAACTAGACGAATTACAACAAGAAAATATAATTTAAGTTCTCATCTGACGGATTAATCAATGACATGACATCTATGTGACGAACCCTCTAACATTCCAGTTTATTTCACACTATGATTATTGCTGTTATTAAACCGGATCACCATTATATAACGCTACCCCAAGCAGGTAGTTACTTAAACAAACTTGGGTGATTTACCAGACAGTTCCGACTGTTCCACAGCTCACTTGTGTGGCACTTATACCCAGAAAACGTAAGCCAAACGGTTCAGGCGTAGACGGCAGATTCCAGTTGTTTTTAGTGCAGTGTGAAATTCCTGCTATATGTACAGCTACGTCGGTGCAAAACCTACACGAAATATAAATAGTGCTCGGAGATGCATTACGCACCCATGCAAGGTCCGAGGTGCGATACCTCAAAGAAGCACGCGGGAAATGGACGAAACGTTACAGCCATTGCTGTCATCGTCAAGCCATTTGTTACCACATCGTTGCTTATGATCTTTATGTTTGCAGTCAATCGCACTGCACTTAAAAAGTGGACCGTAGCAAATCACCTCGTGATTTCAGAAAATGGGCAGTAAGGGAGCACCGAGTTCATCCGCTATACGCTAAGATGCGACGCATGCAGCTGGGCCTGAACCAGCCAGAACCTGCGGCTGGGTGGGCTGGTCTTTACCCGGTCAGTCCCGTCCACTGCGGGGAACTGGTGCGGCCCGGAGCCCGCTCAGTCCAGCGGCCCTGAGCCGGCTCAGTCCAGCGACCCCGAGCCCGCTCAGTCCAGCGGCCCTGAGCCCGCTCAGTCCAGCGACCCCGAGCCCGCTCAGTCCAGCGACCCTGAGCCCGCTCAGTCCAGCGACCCTGAGCCCGCTCAGTCCAGCGACCCTGAGCCCGCTCAGTCCAGCGGCCCTGAGCCCGCTCAGTCCAGCGACCCTGAGCCCGCTCAGTCCGCTCCCCATCTACAACCCCAGCGAACGCCGTGAGGCACAATTCTGGGACGTCCGTCCGTACCCAATACAGCGCCGGCTCAGTCCAAGTCTTGCGTAATTCATAGCACCACCCTAGTTCATTATGTTGCACGCCGGCTTATTTAGACAGGACTTCCTAAAAAATTATGCCGTGTTGGTTATGAGTAACTTACTAGGCTCAGCATCATCAATCCACGATGTTTCCATTATCCCCAAAACGGCGCGGTTCTTTTTGTCGGCGTCAACGCCACACAAATGACGCTGACGTCGAGATTTATATGGGATGTCACGACGCCGGTGTCGTGCGCTTTCACGACGGTGAATCGTGCATTGTGTCTGGCTTTGGTGAAATGCTAGGGTCTGTGCACATCTGGTACATCAGGAAACGTAACAACTGCCGCCAACTCACCAAAGCCAGACATGGCATTCCACTGAGCGAAGCGGTTTACTTCCGGCACATTCGTCGGCGCCCCGCGGAACAAAGCGTCTACCTCCGGAACATTCGTCGGCGCCGCGCTGAATGAAGCGGCTTACCTCAGGCACATTCGTCGCCGCCGCGCAGAGATAAGCGGCCTACCTCCGGTGCATTCGTCGGCACCGCGCAGAGCGAAGCGGCTTACCTCCGGTACACTCGTCGGCGCTGCGCTGAACGAAGCGGCTTATCTCTGGCACATTCGTCGACGCCGCGCAGAGCGAGGCGGCTTACCTCCGGTACACTCGTCGACGCCGCGCTGAGCGAAGCGGCTTACCTCCGGCACACTCGTCGGCGCCACGCAGAGCGAAGCGACGCCGGCAGAGCAGGCCCTTGGGGCCGGCCGGGCAGGCGTCAGCGATGTTGGCCTCCTCCAGCTGCCGCTCCAGGTCGCTGTCCAGCCCGTTCGGATGCAGGTCACGCAGGACGTGGTCGGTGGCGATGCTGCGATCCTTCAGCATGGCCTGCCGGCACGCCAGACCCATTTGCGAGGCGACAACCGCAGGCAAATTCGTCAGCAGTTGGCACCAGCTGTGCCGCAATAGGAACTTCCCAAGAGCGGTGTGATAATGCTCACATTAGATGGCTGAGCGGTATCATTCGCTGCATCGTGACCGCAAGTGAGTTACGGAGAGAGATCACGGAGAGAAAGGTCGTAAGTGAGAGAGTGAGCGGGTAACTGAGCTGTGGCGGGCGGAACGTGGAACAATCCCTGCCGCGGTTCCCGGCCGCTCCAGGCCAGCTTGATGGAAGTGTGTGAAAAGTAGGCGCGCTGGCAAGGCGACGAGGCCACCATCGGGCGGGGTCGCCAGTCGACCGTCGTAATAGATCGGCGCTTGCCGCTTGCCTGCTCGTCAGGTATGCATGTGCTCAATCAACTGGAAAGCAGGCTGGCCGCGGACCAGCAGACGAATTGTCCGACATCTCCCCGAGTGGACGCCGGAGAAAGCCGGCGGGCGTCCACCCCAGTCGGCATGAGAGCTCCCGGTCGCGCGCATCTGCTCCATTGTTGAGCAAATGAACTGACAAACGTATTCACTGTGCAGCGGGGAGAAAGCGTCCCGTCGTGGACGGCAGCGACGACCCTCGGGGCCCACATGGTCTGCCTCACGACGACCCTCGGGGCCCACATGGTCTGCCGCTCTCACGGCGGCATCCCAACGACGACCCTCGGGGCCCACATGGTCTGCCGCTCTCACGGCGGCATCCCAACGACGACCCTCGGGGCCCACATGGTCTGCCGCTCTCACGGCGGCGTCCCAACGACGACCCTCGGGGCCCACATGGTCTGCCGCTCTCACGGCGGCATCCCAACGACGCCCGGGGGGCGGCCGGCCCTCATCTGCCCGGCTCGGGCCCGCTCGGCTCGCGTGAGTGCGGTTTTTGCGTCTGGCTCGGAGCCCGCACCGGGCGTCGTCGCCCTGCCGGGCCGCCAGCGCGGCTACCCGGGCCTCCCCGCTGACTGAACCAGAACTCCCCCCCCCCCCATCCCCTCCAGGTCAGGTCAGTGGGCGTGAACGCAGTGACTGCCGCTGCGCCGTGACCGCCTCGGCGGCGATGGACGCATTAGCATGCGGCGCGCCGGACGAGAGGCGCCAGCGAGGCCTGACTCGGCCGGCGGCGGCAGGCGGCTGCTGGGGAACGCCGGCACACAGTCGTGGGAGGGCCCGCTTCGTTCAGATTTAGGGCACGGGTGGAAGATAACATATTCAAACGATTCCAGGTAATCAAAACGTTCGAGGTGAAATGGCCATGAACATCAACCTCCACGAAGACGTTTTCATTACCCCACCACGTGCTCGTCACTGCTTAAAATTCCGCCGCCGCTCGAAGTCCATCAATGTATCAGTTGTTCCAAAGACGCTCATAGCTAAAGCTCACGCCCCTGACCAGCCCCAGCCCCAACATCTGGCGACCAAGTTAGCTTTGCGTCCACGCATCAAACTGCTGAGTGCCAAGTCACTGGAAGACTCCGGCGAGTCGGCGCGGGGTGAACACTTTCACAGCGAGCAGCCCACCGCTGGCGGCCCGCGCGGCCTGAGACGGGCGGCACCGACCCTCCGCTGCCCGCCGGCGTCCCGGCAGCCGCCGTCGGCCGGCCGGGCTCGGCGCCGCTGACGCTGTGACCCCGCCCGCTGCGCGCCCCGGGGACGGAGAGGAGGCGGCCGGGGTTGCGTCAGCGGCCGGCGCCGGGTCACCGCCGTCCGGGTGGTCCCGCCCTAAGCGGCACGTGCGGTCATGGGGACCTGTCGGACACGACCACTGCGGCGGCGGCCACCGCGCTGTGGCGACACGGCCGAAGACGCATGTGGGGATCGGCCTGGAGCGCGTGTGTGAAAGTGATTACACATCTGCGTGAACATGCTACGCAGGTATCTTGCATGGATGAACGCTTTAGCAGCCATGCACAATGTATGTAACACAAATATGCATGCATGATTTTCGTGATGACATGCATGGGCTTGATATTTGTGCTGATTGGGTGCTCACTTGAGTGCTATCATTTTTTATATTTCTTGAATTATGTCGGTGCTGGCGAAGATTCCTCGATAGAATCGATGTAAGAATATGACTGTCACATGAGTATCGTGTATTGCTGAGCGCTATTAATCCTGTCGAGCACGCAAGCGAGGAGGTGTCGCCGTCACAAGTCGAGGTTTTGACGAATCAGGTGATAGTAACACTATCATAAAACCCATAACTCACTGACGCTCGGTGAGAAGCGTAGGGCGATGTGCAAGTCGACGTGCCAAAGGCGAGGAGGTGTGACAAACGAGCTGTCGTTCCGCCGACGGTTAGACGTTTCAGGGGGAGGGGGTCATGGCAGACTCGTGCCTGACTCCGCTCCAGCCGAGTCAGCTTCGACTCACAGCCCGCGGGGTTGGTGAAGGCTGACTCCAAGTGGCGTCGCATAAACTCGCATAGGTCGTTCGGATTCCGACCCGAGGATATGCGACCCAGTTTCGATTTCAACTGCGATGGAGTCAATTTCAGTGAAAAATATTTCAGAGGTCAGCGCCTATATGACCTTTGCAAGAGCCTGCACAAAACTATTTTTAATCGGCGCCGTGATTTTTCCAGGGTATATGAAACAAAGAAAAACTGTCAGAATGGCAAGAATGCATTGTTGCATACTTGTCCATTCGGGCCGACCAACACTGATCATGATCAACCCAATCAATACAATGACTCGACTCGGGCCATGACCGATATCACACATGTGTTGAAAGCAATCAATTAAGCCTAGGGTCATCGTACATCTGGCTGATTTGGGAGTGTGACTCCAACTCTCGGAGTCAAAAGCATGCTGGTGCACAGAGATTTTGCAACTCGACCTTTTTCATGCAGCCCCTCTTATACGTGCAGTGTTAAATTTCACAACAGTTGAATGGAAGTTGCCCCTTTTCGCCCCGGGTGGCGAGAGCCATGAAAGCGAAACATTGGCCGACGTTGGCAACTGACAGGACATGGCAGAGCCGACATATTGACACCATGTAACGCAAATATGCCGCGTAAAACCGATCATCGCTGTACACGCCTGGTTGTAAAGTGAACAGGCGTCGCATCATAAGATTTGCCAGACTGCAACACCGCAGATAAATGAAAAGATGCACTGCACACGCGAATATCATACATTATGAGCGATGATGGAGCAAGGATCAAAGCGCGCACTGTCATGGAACATGCCTGACCGTGAAATATGTTTCGATAATAACCGACTAGTATACAAGTGGCAGGAATGGGCTGCGTAGTCGGTATGCCAAAGCATAAAGCCGATATATGACTCGCGGGTTCTCCGCGGTTTGAACGCCGATTGAATAAAGCCGTCCATGAAACACACCTCTGGTCTCATGCCGGAGCCAGGAGTCACGCTTTAGTGTTCGGGAGGTAGGACTGTGAGCTACTCACATCGGACTGGTTCAGCGCCTCCTGATCGTACTCGATCTTCAGTCCGAAGTCACCGTCGTCGAACGCCGAGGCCTGGCCGACGACCAGCATCATACACAGGGCGAGCCACTGGGGCGACCTGCGACACCCCGGAGCTTGTCAACACGTGCCAATCTCCGCATAACGCGACGACAATGACACACTTGACGTTTGAAACCATCCAACCCCTCCATGTCACACCCTCTATTCCCACCGCCTCGACAGCACGGACCGCAGAACCACCGGCACCGACCACCGACAGAGGCGCCGGTGACAGCGCGAGGCCGGAACGGCGCGTCGGCCGGGCGGCGCCGGCGTTCACTCACATGGCGGCGCAGCGAGATGTTGCGTGGAGCTGGACGGAGGCTGGACTGAGCCGGCGCCGGCGCCAGGTGAGCGGCGGCAGCGGCGGCGGCGGACGGGCGGGGCGGCCGCCGCTCCCGGCGGACGGGCGGGGCGGCCGCCGCCGCTCCCGGCGAGGACGCCAGGGCCTCCTCCGACCGACGCCGCCGACCGCCGGGAGTGGCACCGCCTCCGGCCGCGGAAGCCAGATCCGTGGCGGAGTCTCTGTCGGGCGACCCCCGCGCCGAGGGCGAGGGACGGCCTCCCGTGTTTGGGCTTCACACAGCCACTCTGCTTCGCACAGCCCCTTCCGGCCTAGTTCATCTCTTTTTGCTCGTTGGCCAAAGGGCGCCGGTGTCGATTCTTGACTAAGCTCTTTATGTTTCGAAGGTTAGTCCAACTAATGATACGGATAATTCAGGTTTAGGGATATAGATATGGTCCAACATATATCACAGCAGAAAACGGTGACAGTTGTCCTCACACCTGGTTGGTGCGACGGATCCTGTAAGATCGTGCAGAATGCTCGCTGTGCTGTGGAAGACGTGGCAAGACAGGGCTCCGTTCGTCAGTTATTTTTCGTTCACCTACATTTAGGGGCAGTTAGGACATTCCAGAGCCGGGGGTTGGCCATAAATCAGCGTTTTACTGAGAAAAACGTCCAATCTACTGCTCATTTCAACATACCTGTCGGACGTCATCGTTGGACAAGGAATGCTGGATTTGCTGTTTTGTATTAAGCACCGAGGTTCTATTACGGCGAGGACGAAAACTGTTGGCGCTACGTGTTTTGGATCAAAATTATTTTGTGTGAACCCGACTTTATTCTCAAACTTTGCTGGTAGAGACCACATGGCGTTCCTGTTCTCGCCAGTGGCTAATTTTGATCGATACAAAGCACGACGTTCGCGGTCGTCTGTAAGCTGATTCACCCCGTGATTAAGTGGTGACGTGTTGCTGGCGCAGGCTAAAAATAAAAATAAGTAGTTTTCCTTGCCACCCACGACATTGACCAAATGACGTTAAATCTGCCTGCCCTGGCAAATTTTGCGATAATTTTAAGACACGTTGAAATATTATTGCGAAATCTTTGGTACTTGTCATTTGATCAATGATGTGCTTTGTGCCAAAGTTACATCTTTGAGACCATGATAGATCAAGTGAAGGTGACGTCAGAGTGACGTCATGTTTGCTGATCTTTTGACATCCGTATCCGCGGGCAAATCGGCATAGAAAGTGGGCAAAATACGATGCATGGCGTCTGTGCACTGAAAATATGAGCTAGTTACCCCACCATTCGTATGCTTTGCTGTTTTGTTGTCCCAATAGAGCACATCGAAGGATTGCCGTGTCAGCTAACAAATATATTTACAAGCAGTACGATCAAAATGTTCGGCCTGAGGCCCTAGTTTATGCCGATATCAGACATTCCTGTAGCGAGAGCATGGCACAGGTGAAAGACCAGTGACTCGTTTATGCACCACAAGAACACTTCACCCCATGGGTCTATGCATATTCAATGCACACTTGTGAGAAGCCGCACTCCATGGCGATGCAAGCATTGCAGGTGGTCAGGGAACAGCTATTGACTTTTCTATGCAGGGTAAGCTGATCTAGGGGCTGCTGAACAGATCTGAGACCTTCTTTCTCAACTTTTATCTACAGCAATTCTGTCACATTTTGCCCACTTTTGTTCACAGGGAGCTCTCAGGCAGGTATATACCAATTATAAGTCAGAACGAGCGGCATCGGCTGCCAACCTAGATGCCCATTCAGGGACCCTGTGGCAGAGGGCTGCCACTCAGCGCGACCGTTACGCAGTCCATAAGTTGTAACTATCGGGCGCCAAAACAGCTGCTCATCGACTAACATATGTGTCATGATTCTGCGCGCCAAATTGCGCCGTCCATGCAGCTGTAGGCTGGTGACAGTGGTGAAGCGGTGCCAATCTTTGGTCACGCCCCACGTGCGATGTACAGCCTCTTACCGGGTGGATTTATCAAAACTGGTCACCCAGCCAATCGTCTATCTCATGGGCGTAGGAACGGAGGGGAGGGGGCACAAGGGGGGCCATGGCCCCCCACTTTTCAAGGTGGGAGGGCCAGCAGTGTTAACTGCCCCCCCCCCCCCCACCCACACTTTTCAGATTAAAGTTGTGTTTAGCTTAATTTCGCACCACATTTAAATATACATGCCGATTCACCTAGTTCACCAGCCATTTTCCTCAAGATGAGTCATCTTTTTCGTTTGCTTATTGGCCATCGCTCACTGTCACAGCCGCAGGCCGACGCCGCGCGGGCTACGGAGACTGCAACGCCAGGCGTTCAGGCCGTTGTTTGCGAGCGTGTATTTTCAAAACCATATTACATAGTTTTTCAGCAATTAATTTTGACTGAATCTTGGACTTTTTAAGACGAACGTGGATTAGCCAGTTTAATACAAGCTTAGGACTCCGTTTCATCTACAATCTACGTTCAGGGATTCCTCAATACCTCTGAAGAAAACAGAAAAACACGTAACTGGAGCCTGTATGACAACTATTGGACCATTTTTGCCGATCAGGGATGTTGATGTGTCAATAAAGGTTCCTGTGGTGATTCGGAGATCCGGAGACTGGAGGAGATCCCGTCCCGTGTCGCTAGAATGACAACCAGAAGACACCTTGCGATGGGACGGAGTGGCCCTCCAGCTCCTGACCGGAACCGGTGACGTGCCCTCGGTGTTCTTCTCAAGGGGCCCCTCGCTCGGAAGGAAATACGGGGCCTTATTACTGCTGAGTAGAGTGGAAGTCTCATTATTGTTCAATAGAGTAGGTCGAAATGAATTTAAAGAAGTAGCAAGGCCATCCCATGTTTGCCTAAGAACGCTCATTTTCCTCAGAATGGATTAGTAAAAAAGTGCATCAAAGGTTTGAACGTGCCCGCCCGCAACCTCGATAGCAGGGGCAGCGATGGTCAGCGATGGTTGCAGCTTCCGTAACACCGAAAGGCGTCGGCCGCTGCAACTGCCACCAGACGGCAGGCGCTGTGTTAATCCGTCTTCTGGATAGATTAATAGTTAAAGAAACACGAAGAATAGAGAATCTGCCTTCACTGTTCCAGTTCCACCACCAGATTCCAGCAACACTTCGCGGTGCTTTAAGGGCCAGTACGTCTGAAGTCTAAAAGTCAATCTAAAAGTCGCACACGTGAAATATGCGCCCAGACTACCTTGTAGATGCAAGATTTCATGTCCTGAATCGTTCAAAGGTACTTTTTTCAAAAGTGTCATCATTTTCGTCCACCCGTTGGCCACGGCTCAGTATTAGCTGTTGAGCCTACGCTGCGCGGTCTACGGAGACTGTAACGCCTGGCGTCGAGGTTTTGAATGCTAAGATTTGCGAATACGCATGCTAAAAATTATGTCACATAACTTATTAACCGATTCAAGTGTTTAAAGGTAATTATTTCAGAACCGTAATCATTTTCGTCCGCCGGTGAACCATGACGAAAAATTAACCACTGGGACTATGAAAACGCTCCGCGGACTACGGAGACTGCAACGCCTGGTGTCGAGGTTTTAGCTGCTAAGATCTGCGAGCGCGCATGTTGAAAACCACATCATATAGATTGCATCACTAACCGATTCTGACTGAATGCTAAAAATGTCTAGACAAACGTGGCTTGGCGATGTTAATACACGTTGTTGACCACTCGATCTACAATTATAATTTTCACCCCCAAATTTCGATCAAACATATCGATCTACAATCTACCTTCGCGATGTCCTCAATGTCTGTAGAACGCAGATAAAGCACGTTGAAAAAGCTTCTGCATTCTATCGGTTTATAAATGGTCCACTTAGCCATTGCATGTTAAGAATACTGGTGATTTATTCTATGCGGTCGTTAAACGTCTGATTTATGCAGTCTATTGACCTTAACACGCGCTCGGGAAGGGGTCAAACTGACTCACCCCCAAAGGTTTTTCCAGAATGGTTTCCGAACGGCGCGGCAAAGCCACGTCATGTTTTGCATAGCTGTAGCCAATTGAATAGCGGATTGCTTGACATAAAAAATAGATGTTCTTTGTAAGGTCGCTGAGCAATGCGAGGTCAAAATCAGGCCATGGTTTCAGCGAAGTCAACTTCCAGGGAATCGTTCAATCTGATGCATCAATGAAGTGCTAGACGAAGCCATACATCTCTAAGATACTTTCTTAGGCAACACACATATTGAGTGAGCACATCACCTTGACCTAAGGTCAGGTATACAGGTCAGATCAATTTCAGAAACCTGTTTTATTACTCTGTGGCTTGCTGTATGGGATAGTTTCTGGTACTCATTTTAAATCTATTGATAACAGAGACCGCATTATACATCTTCCACGGACTTACTTGAGGTTAGAATAGGTCATTGACCTGAAATGACCTAGGCCAACATTTTGTTTTTAAAAATATACTGCCTAGCGTAATTTTTCTCTCTTACTCAAATGCGAAACTCAGAGCACTCCTGTATGACGTTGGTCACCATGACCCTCAAAAGCTCAAACAAGATCACTGACCTTAACTGAACATGTGACCTTTTGCTTAGAAACAGTTATCTAGGTTCTGAGGGCACTTTGACCAACCTGGGATTTGACCTTGTTTGACCTTATTTGAATAAAAATTTATGACCTAGGAACCTCAAACGTTGACCAAAGTGAGTTCACGTACAGGTCAACACACCCTGTGAATTTGGTGTCTCTAACTCGCTTAGTTCCTGAAATCTCAGGGGATCGAATTAAACCCCCGAGCAAAGGGTATCTAGCCGGCCACCCGAGCGCGTGTTAAAAATGCAACCAGAATTGATTTCACGGTAGCTTCTGGTTTCTGTTCTGATCTCAACGTAAAAACAACAATGAAACGAAGAAAACCGTGTCCCTTGTTAACAAGTTAACCATATTCGGAGATATTTGTTGTGGGAAATCACCACAAAGGGGGCTTTTGTCGACCTTGTGCTCCTCATTGCAAGGCTCTGGCTACCCCCTGCCTACACACAAAAGCAGATCAAGTCATCTACGTTGAATGACGGGTAATTAAAGGCCGTTGGGCCAATTTATAGCTAAAGTAAGCAGCTTCCCGGCGGCATTTTCTGAGGTGGTGTGGTGTAAAGGAAGATAATTTGGAAAGAGGTACTGTTGCAGGCGTCCAACACATGTTTTACATCCTAATTAGTAGCAACGCTGATCCAAAAATGTGCAACAAAGCAGCCATGCCATCAGTTCGCGGTCAGTCATTCGGAGATAGCCGGACCAGGACAGTGGCTACCGACGGCGGACGGGAGCAGGGCTCAGACAAGGAATGTATGACAGAAAGGCCTTCATTCTGTGGCTTGGTTTTCAAGGGAGAATCTCCAGTCCTATGGGTTTTGTCACATGGCTTTTGGCAGTTTCAAGCTTCCGAATTTGTTTCCACCTAAAATGCCGCGACAAGTCATCTCTTGAAAAGCAGCCAGCAAAATGGAGGCGCATGTAAAATCTGTACTCTGAGCCATCGATTCACTTTCAAAATTCTCATCAGCCTATGCTCAGACCATATTTTGGCGTCTACCCTGTGGAGACAGATGCCTCCTCAATGAGCCAAAATGCCTACCCACTCGTGGAATTTCGGCTCCCTAGGAAAGACAACGTTGAAATGGACGAATTATCTTGGGAAGCTGGATAGCCTTATTTCCTGAATGACATAGATGAGTCGGATAGGCAAGGGTGTGCACCACTGAGAAACAGCTCTCGACGCATATCTAGAATAGCAGTCACTACACTTGAATAAATAGCGATAACCTCCATCTGTACCGTCCCCCCCCCCCCGGTCATCGGGTTTGTTTTCCCAAAAAAAGTTTCTGAAGTGTGTCCTGAGCTTCCCCCCCCCCCACACACTTTTTGAAACGCTCCCACGCCTATGGTCTATCTTAGAAGCTCATCACCGCGCCGGGCCGTGCTGAATTAACTTCTGCATCTGGGTCCGAAGGGAAAGGTGCACACAAGTTTAGACCACGCGCACTGTGCGAGCATCTCGGCACAGGGCGCCGTAAGTTACGTGCCACCCAGTGTCGTGGTGACAGACTCTCAACACACGTCGACACGCACGAAAAATAAAAAAAATCATCATCATCCACTCCTAGCACGCTATGTTCCGGCCGGCTCACTTACTGCTTCCGGCACCCGGAAGGCGCTTGGCCCAAATGTTTGCACTCGGAGGGCGCTTGGCCCAAATGTTTGCACTCGGAGGGCGCTTGGCCCAAATGTTTGCACTCGGAGGGCGCTTGGCCCAAATGTTTGCACTCAGAGGGCGCTTGGCCCAAATGTTTGCACTCGGAGGGCGCCTGGTCCAGGTGTTCGCACTTGGAGGGAAATGGCTGCATTCGGAAGGCGTTTGGCCCAAATGTTCTTATGCGCCTGCAGATCATGGCGCTGACCAGACACAGCTGCCAACCACAAAAGCACAGCCCTGTGGTGGAGCCTATGCTGATCTCTGATCCGTGGAGCATCCATGTGACCTGTACAGTGGTGCAGCCAAAGGAGCAGCTTTTGGGGGATAGCGCTCTGGGGAAGGTGGCCCCCTAAGACCGAAGACCCCTGTACTTGCTGTTAATTTAGGACACCCGTAGAACTTTTAAAGCAGCAAAAGGGCCTCAAGGCCTCAGAAAGAATGCCGAGCGTAGCTATGGCCGCCGATTAAAAAACATAGGACCCCTAAACGATGAGGCCCCTCTTGGCAGGAGTGTCCCTATGACCCGATTTAGCTCCTCGTGGGTGAAAAGCTGGCTACGCCACTGGACCTGTACCGCACGCTGACGTTATGATAATCATGATCGTTCTGGCTCGAAGTGCCGGTGGCCAAGGTTAACGCCAGAAGTGCAAAATAGCCTTCTATTGCGTGTGGTCTTAGTAACGGATAGTTTGAAGCCCGTCTGCCCCTGAGTTGCTTTCAGATACTTCTGTTTCTCTACACCAAAATGCAAATTGGATCATTTTTCGATTCCTAGTTGTAAATATTCAAGACGCACGAAATGATGCCCCATGAAATGCCCTCAGAAAAACTTCTCTCAGAAAAACTCGCCCTGTTCACCTGTGTGCTTGACATTTGTGGCCCTTCGGACGCCAAACAAAAGTTAGTACGGCCTCCAGCTACGTCAGATGTCAAACTTCGACCCTGGCCCCAGGGGCCCAGGTTCACTGACTGTTTGCTCCTGGTGGGGGGCGCTTTGCGCTGGGTCCATCAAATTTGCACGGTACGAATTGGTATCCTTGGACTTTTGTCTACGATATACACTTGAGTAGAAACATCTGCTTTGAAATAAAAAAGCACCATATCAAAATAAGTTTGTTTACACAGGGTTTTCTCGTGAGCACGGTGTCCATGGATTGGTATCGCTTTCCCACGCGCCGCCTGGCATGACTCAACTAGGGCTGGGCTGAGGAGTAGCTGAGTTTGTCGGTGAAAGCCATACCGCCGAGAGGTCACCTTCAGCGTGTGGTGGTGCCGGCCAGGGACGGAACGAAGCTGAGATCATCGTCCTGCCGATGGTGCCGGATCTGAGAGTAGCGTGGCTCCTCAGATCCGCATAACAAGGCCATCAAGACCGGACACATCCGTCGAGCAGGAAAGCACGCCTCTTGCTGATTGCGGATACGGATCAGCCTTCCCGCCACAGCATTCAGCTGTGTCGACCAATAGACGAGCCGTGATTCCACGCCTGAAGTCTCCGACTCTCCGGATCGGCCCGAGCAGATGTCTGGGAAATCCAGCTGTTTCCCCGGCCGGGCCCGCGGAGGTTGTATTAAGACACAACGGCATGTCCCACGGTGCAATTCGCTGTACAGTGACCATGGTCGCGCCCCGCTAATCTCCGAATGGTGGCTGAAGAGAGCCACGTGCACCGAAGCTGCATTTTTAACACTTGAGAACTAAATGGGTAATGACTGGATTCAAGATCTCCCTGCGCTCCCAATTTCTAGTCTCCGGCTTCCGTGATCCGGCGGACCTCACGTCCAATATGCTGCATACGCACGCGGGTCACACCTTAGCGCTGGTCACCTAGGTCCTGGTATGCGTAGACAGTCCTCGTATCAGAGGAGATATTTGGCAGGTTGAAGTCCGTAGGTTCTTAGGCTGCCAAATTAGACATTCTCGTGGCAGATGGGTGCAACTCAGCACAAGCGTCCCATGCACCACAAGTTAAAGCACCCTGGTCACAAATAGCTGTTCATCGGCTGACATGTATGTCGCGATCCCGTGCGCCAAATGGCACCGTCCGGGCAGCTGTAGGTTAGCGACAACGGCCCAGGTATGCCAATCTTTGGTCACGTCCCACGTGCGAGACAGTCGCCCGTCGGCTGGATTTGGTTGTGAGATCACTCGGATATTGATACAGAGTGAAATGAATATTTTAAGACTCTCGTATGCATTGAGAAACTGAAGTGAAATGGAAGGTCTAAGCTCATAAGTCATGACCTCACGTCATTGTGTTAGAATGCACTAAATAAGCATAACAGATCAGAAAATGGCATGCACGCACGCATGGTCGGCCAGAGCAAAAATGACTCGGCCGTGCATCCGTGTTCAGCACCGGAACACGGATGCACGGCTGTCATTTTGCTTTCTTTTCGTGCACCCACGCCTACCATGTCTGAATGAGCTCGCTCATGAAAGGTCATTCAGCCAATGCGGCGCCCTAATGCCCCAATTATCACTAGGTATGTGCGGTCAGCAAACCTCACAGACGGCCTTGACCAGACAGCGTCGGGTTGCAATGGCGCCCTCATCGAAACTTCATAACCACACACAAATGTTGTATTCCACAAGATCATCCTGGAATGGAACAATAGCAGAAAATAACATTCCGCTATACATCAATTGTTGCAGTTATTTCCCAGTGGGCCGGTCGACATTACACCAGGGCATAACCCGCTCACCACGGAATGGAAATGGACGACCTGACCATCAGCAATCTACCACATGAAGGAGGAATTGGCGGGGACATCAAGCTTGCTATATTACGCCACTAATGTGGCGGCTCGTTGAGTTTAAGCCCGCGTGACACACGCAATCAAACAAATCAACCACTCGAGTCGGTGCGTAAACAAACATCACCAATTTCCATGTGAACCGTATTTCATTCGGCTGATCGACAGAGACATCCGGCCCTATCGGTCGCTACCTCGGAGTTGATCATAACACTATTGCAGTGCTCCATTGGACTAGAACCCGGCTAATCAGTGGCGGACCGGCCGAGGGTGTCTGACGCCGCGCGGGCGGGGGTCGCCGTGTGCGGGTGACGGGGGCCGGCGCGCAGGGCCGGGTCCAGCGCCGGCGCCGGTGCGGCCCGCTCCGATGTGCTGACCGGCGGCGGGGAGCCGGCGCGCGGGGCCGGGTCCAGTGCCAGCACCGGTTCGGCCCGCTCCGATGCACTGGTCGGCGGCGGGGAGCCGGCGCGCAGGGCCGGGTCCAGCGCCGGCACCTGTTCGGCCCGCTCCGATGCGCTGACCGGCGGCGGGGAGACGGCGTGCAGGGCCGGGTCCAGCGCCGGCGCCGGTTCGGCCCGCTCCGATGCGCTGGCCGGCGGCGGAGAGCCTGACAGACCGGCACGCCTACTGCACCTTGGCCTTGCTCGCAGGCTTCGGCCCAATTACCTTCCTGCGCTGCCGATACATGTGCCGCATGACCACGAACATCCCTGCGGACACGCACAGATTGTGTGTCAACAGACCACTCAGAAACACGGACGGTTCGCAGCTGAGGGATTCAGCAGCTATTTACCCGACGAAAATCATCAATACCTGTATACAGCGTGAAAGTCATGGTAGGTCGTGACCTCCTGGGGGTTAAAGCACAGTTTCCACAAAACAAACACTTTATGCGCATTAAACGACTGCGAAAGAAGACGCCCTTCAAGTAGACACGCGGGTCACAAGCCGACAGACAATGACGGCTTACAATCAGCTGTAGGCCCACAGAACGGCTTACGTGAAACGTCATGCCAACAGCGTCCCAGCCAAACTGGGCATGCCGCGAGTGTCGGAAAATTCATGGCATATCGTGCACGCGAACTTTGAACCGGTACGCCGTAAGAGTTTGGCTTCGCTGGACAGCAGATGGTCAATGGAGGGGCCTAAGACAATTTGAACAATCTTTCGTTTGGTGCCAGAGGAGACTGACCCAAAACCGGTTTGGTGCCGGCTGACCCAAACATCGAAATTGGCCTGATAGAATGCAATTCACAGCTCTGAAAAGCAGCCCTTTAACACGCAAACACTATGGACCAGTAAAAAAGTACGCCGTTAAGCGGTTGTGCTACCAACGTTCCTCGATGGGGGATGCGTGCAAGTCTGTAAGCTGCATTGCAACAGATATCGAAGTGTTGTGCGCGTTCAACAACGAAGGGATCTTCGTCTGAACTTACGTTGTCTGAAAATAAAAACACAATAATTTGCTAACAGCCAATAGTAACTTATTGCAGAATCAGCACTGACCCACAAAATGTCAGGCTGGTGCAGAAGCAAAACTGAAGGAGCCATATAAAAGCATTAAACGACTCAGGTTTGGTACGTACCTGGTAGGAAAGCAATGAAGAGGAAGCACTTTATGAAAGTTGGAAAGTGGAATGCGAAGTTCAATGCATTGGGCATCGACACCGAAAACTTCCCAGTCTCCTCAAAATATGGCAGAGATCTGAAACACAGAAAATCGCAATAAAAACATAACACAAGATGTAGCCAGACAGACTGGCATCACATTTCCACATGACCATGGCGACATGATGCGTGCTATAAAGCAGCGCAACATCCACGTGCATTACACCAGCATCACACCGCGCAACACGTGCGCCGGAGGTCGCAATGTGATTCGCAGAACCATGAGTTTGGATCTGATCACCGCCACGATCGTTCAAGGCTGTATGTGACACGTATGAAGCACAAGGCCAAACATCACAAACCAAGCGGTGATTCTCAAAATTAACACAAAACAATGTTCAGAATAGTAATTGACCGAAGCGCTTCATTGGAATAAAGCCACAGCGCCGGGGGCCGAAGTCAGAATCATCAGGTCATAAAACAAATCATAAAGCCTTGTACGCATTTCTCCTCAAAAGCCATACGCACAAATCATTTACATCTTCGCGTTAAATTTATGGAAAATAAAGAACCAAGATAAAACATACCGCACCTGACCTGGGCCGTGAGGCCAGTATACCTTCATCTAGCATATCACAACACAATGAATATGTCAAACGATCAGAAAAGAAAAACGCCCAGAGTATTTCCCACCACACAAGTGGTGCCCAAGTCTGGCTTCCAGAGTTTAATGAAGCACCCTGACCACAAACAGGTCGAGTGGCGTGCGGACGTCGAGCTTCATCGCCGCATGAACACTGTGTCAAAACTGTGGGATGGCGGGTGCGGTGGGGCTCACCTGAGGTACAGCACGCCCTCGGTGATGAAGCCGAGCGGGTAGAGCGGGATCCAGATGGTGTACCGGAGCCAGGTGAGCACGGACAGCTCGCGGCGCACCAGCCGCAGTGTGTAGTACGGGTACCTGCGGCGGCCATCACCCGTCAGTCGACCATCCCCGGCCGCCGGGGCACGCGACAACGTGGCCGGTACACAGCCGTCACCACTGGCTCCACCGTCGCCGGGTCACGCGACAACGTGGCCGGTACACCGCCGTCACCACTGGCTCCACCGCCGCCGCGCCACGCGACAACGTGGCCGGTACACCGCCGTCACCACTGGCTCCACCGCCGCCGGGCCGCGCGACAACGTGGCCGGTATACCGCCACCACCACTGGCTCCACGGCCGCCGGGGCACGCGACAACGTGGCCGGTACACCGTTGTCACCACTGGCCCCTCCCGGTGTTTATTGATTTATCTTACTGCGGTTCTCAGTGATTCCCATACAAGCGGCCTCTCTGTCACCGAGGGGGCACAGGTCGACTCAAGCTGAGGTCGATGAGCAACACGGACGAAGTGCGAACACGTGCCACATGTGGTCACACAGCGAGCATTAATCCACGTGCGCGGTGACGGTGCGCGGTCGTCGAATGGGTTCGTGTAGCCTGTCCCCGGTGCGAAAAGTCAGGAATTGTGACTGGCTGAATATTTGAGACTGAGAAAACGAGCGCCAAAAGACAAAATCTGAGTTGAAAGTGCAAAAAATAGGAAACCAGCATATGCACGACCTCAATGCCCATAATTGTTGCAAATTTAATTAGAAGCGTCGATAGGGTAAAGGCATGCCTCGCAGGGATCTTTCAAAACAAAATGAGAATGCTATGCGCAGTACGTACGGAAATTTGCATGGTCAGCTTTCTTTGCCTCGATAACAAACAGGCAGTGAGCACCCCAGCCATTTTAAATCCAGCCCAAATCCACCCCAACCAACCAATCACCGTTTTAAACGTGGTTAATACGGCGAAGTGCAACGTCCGCGGCCGCCGGGGGAAACAAGAAATAAATTACATTGTGTTACCACCCTGATGCAACTCAGCGCCTGACGCATTCACGCCCTGTCCAGTCGCGCGGTCCTAAAGCACTTATAGCGAATACTTCCCCGCCGCCCAATATCAACCCCCTGGGTAGCATCGTCGCTATCACAATACCGCCTAATGTTCGACACAAGCCTGCCTGCAGCTTCCACACTCGCAAACTGACCTGACCAGCTCCACCAGGCTCCACACCACGAACAGGTAGAAGACGGCCGGTTTAGTCTGCAACCTCTGCTCCCCCTCCAGCACGATAAACAGCATCAGGTTGCGGCCGGACACCTGCGGTACACAGAAGAAGTGTACCCACTACGACAGACCAGAGACACGACACACCACATCAGGACACTGACAGCACAGCGGCACACCACCTCACAGCGGGACACGGACAGCACACTGGCACACCACCCGATAGCGGACACAGACTGCACAGCGGCACACCACCTGATGGTGGGCACAAAGAGCACAGCGGCACACCACCCGATGGTGGGCACAGCACAGCAGCACACCACCCGATGGTGGGCACAGACAGCACAGCAGCACACCACCCGATGGTGGGCACAGACAGCACAGCGGCACACCACCCGATGGTGGACACAGACAGCACAGCAGCACAGCACCCGATGGTGGGCACAAACAGCACAGCGGCACACCACCAGATGGTGGACACAGCACAACAGCACACCACCCGATGGTGGGCACAGACAGCACAGCGGCACACCACCCGATGGTGGGCACAGACAGCACAGCGGCACACCACCCGATGGTGGGCACAGACAGCACAGCAGCACACCACCCGATGGTAGGCAGACAGCACAGCGGCACACCACCCGATGGTGGGCACAGACAGCACAGCAGCACACCACCCGATGGTAGGCAAAGACAGCACAGCAGCACACCACCCGATGGTGGGCACAGACAGCACAGCGGCACACCACCCGATGTTGGGCACAGACAGCACAGCGGCACACCACCCGATGGTGGGCACAGACAGCACAGTGGCACACCACCCGATGGTGGGCACAGACAGCACAGCAGCACACCACCCGATGGTAGGCAGACAGCACGGCGGCACACCACCCCGCGGTCGGGCACCCGGCGCCAGAGCGTCACCCCACGGCCGAACCGCCGGTTACAGCACGGATCACAGGTGACGGGCCGTGCACGACCACTGTTGTAGCCAAAAGTTAAACATCAAGTACGGTAAACCAGCTGGAGCTTGATGTATAAAACAGCTTCTCTGAACAGCTCGGCTACTGAGACCAAGTTCAAAACCTGGCTATTTCTGCCAAACTTGGCTATTTCTGCCAAACGGAGCGACCGCATCGGAGCAATACCTCCGGCACATTCCACGCAGCATGATGACATAAATATGAAGGCAGAATGAGCTGCATCAACAAAACGCGCAACTCTGCCGAAAGTGGATGAAGTCTTCACAGTCGGCTGGTCACCGTCCACCGGCCGGACGGGCAGGCCGTGCGCAGCCGGGCAGGCCGGCGGTCAGCCAGCCGCCCGGCCGCCAGCCTACCTGCATGAGCGGCTCCAGTACACCGCCGCGCGTCATGCCCAGCAGCGGGTGCAGGATCTCAAGCACCTGCAGACCCTGCGCCAGCTTCATGTTCAGGCCGGCCGTGTCATATGCCCTGGTCAGCGAGTCTGCGGCGCGCCGGGCGGCACGGTCACGCGGTGACGAGCGGGGACACACGAGGAGCGGCGCGCCACAGTCACGCAATGACGAACGAGAACACACGAGGAACGGCGCGCCACAGTCACGCGGTGACGAGCGGGGACACACGAGGAGCAGCGCGCCACAGTCACGCGGTGACGAGCGGGGACACATGCGGAGCAGCGCGCCACGAACCCCCAGCGTTTGCCTTGTCACGGCTGTAGCAGCATAGCTTAATCGATATACAAAAGCGTACGTAGTCATGTATATATATATATATATATATATATATATATATATATATATATGGACATGTATATACATGCATTGTAATACATAATAATAACAATATGGTAATGGTATGCCATAATCCATGATACCAACCACGATTGCAGTTGTGCTACGCTTCTTGAGTTTTACGTGAGCACGGTGCAGTGAGTTCAGTCAAAGTGCACCATTCTGCGTAAGTGAAGCGTTTCCGGAGAGCATTTGGCAAACACAGGTTTGGAAGTGTATGGTATACAAAATATTCTTCATTTGTCAAAACACAATTACCATTGGTCTGCGCTACTCAATCGCACCAGCCTCAATGCGCCACAAGTCTTAGTACTAGCCCCGTTTAGAAATGGCCGTAAGCAGGATGGGTCTTGTGTCAAACATCTAGAGGTGACAAATGGGCATGTTGTACACTGTCGGCACACGTGGCTGTCACGAAAGGCAAACAAGACTCGGAATATAACAGAGCTCAGATCAAAGCCAGTGCTGTACGAGCCTCGCCAGGGCTTCGCCTTACCTTGTCCTTCCAGGTAGTATCGGAATCCCAGCTTGCCCAGGATAACGGTAAAGCCCAGCAGCTGCCACAAGTTGTACATCATCAAGTAGCTCTCACGGAAGTTCTCCACTGCAAAACAATGGGAAATGCTTACTAAATGCCGATGCTCAATGATTTAACGGATTTTCGGATTAAGGAGACCATACTGAGCTAGAACACGGCCCTCAACTTAAATGCAGTGTGATCAAATACGGCTCTTAATCCGTGGTTAAGTACAAGTACACGGTATAAGAGTGGGATGCAGTGTGAACCAGCAAGCTTCCCCAGTTCTGCTACATCCTGCCACAGCACAACACGTCATCCACCACTCGCATTCTTCCCCAGCCGCAGTCTGACACCATGTCCACGCCCGTGACGCGCGGACAGGGCACGAGGCGGCCCGCCCGGCAGGGCGCACGGGCCTCCACGGCCGCCACTTACTGGCGCGAGCCCGGCTGTCGGCGCCACTCCTCCCGGGACCCAGCGCTGCCCGCCCCGCCGCGGCCAGCCTCCAGCTCACGTCTGCTCTGCGGGCGGGCCGGCCGCCGCCCTCCTCCCCCCTCCCCCCTCCTCCAGCTGACGTCTGCTCTGCGGGCCGGCCAACCCCCCTCCCCCCTTCCAGCTCACGTCTGCTCTGCGGGCCGGCCAACCCCCCTCCCCCCCTTCCAGCTCACGTCTGCTCTGCGGGCCGGCCGGCCCCCCCTCCCCCCCCCCCCCCCCCTCCAGCTCACGTCTGCTCTGCGGGCCGGCCGGCCGCCGCCCTCCTCCCCCCTCCAGCTCACGTCTGCTCTGCGGGCGGGCCGGCCAACCCCCCTCCCCCCCCCCCTCCAGCTCACGTCTGCTCTGCGGGCCGGCCGGCCGCCGCCCTCCTCCCCCCCCCCCCCCCCCCTCCAGCTCATGTCTGCTCTGCGGGCGGGCCGGCCAACCCCCCTCCCCCCCCCCCCTCCAGCTCATGTCTGCTCTGCGGGCCGGCCAGCCGCCCCCCCTCCCCCCTCAAGCTCACGTCTGCTCTGCGGGCCGGCCGCCTCGTCCCCCTCTCCCCCTAGCTCACGTCTGCTCTGCGGGCCGGCCGCCTCGTCCCCCTCCCCCCTCCAGCTCACGTCTGCTCTGCGGGCCGCCCGCCTCGTCCCGCACCAGGCGGTCGTACACGTCCGGGTAGTCGGCCATCACGTCCCGGCCCTCGGCTTCGTCGTCACTCTCCGACCGCCACCTATCGAAGTCCACCTGGCGGCGACGGCGGGCCGTGGTCAGCGGCGGCTCCGGACCGGCCCGTAGGTGGCGCGAGCTGAGAGTTCAGCGGCGGCTCCGGACCGGCCCGTGGGTGGCGCGAGCTGAGAGGACGCCAGCAGAGGCTTCGTGACAAAATCCAGAGAAAGAGAGACAAACACCCGGTAGGGTTAAAAAAGACCCCAGGCCGTAACTATGCCAGCGCTGCAGCGAAGAATAAAAAAAAAACAATCGTCAGCATCTGTTCCCAGCACCAAAAAACGAGTATGAGCAGACAAAATAAGCACCTTGCTGGGTGGTCCCAGGCCCAATGATGGACATGTATGGCGAATAGCGAAAGCTCTGTGTATCGGAAAACCACCCACTAAGGTACGTCATGACGCCAGAGGTCGAGGACCACCATCCAAACCAGACCAAACCAAACCGCAAGGGCGTTGAGGGGGCACTGCGAGTGGCAATGCCCAAAAACGCTACAAATAGACCACACACACACGCACGCACGCACGCACGCACGCACGCACGCACGCACGCACGCACACACACACACACACACACACACACACACACACACACACACACACACACACACACACACGCACACACACACACACACACACACACACACACACACACACAAACACTCAGCTGACGGCTCGTCCGAAACCATGAGCAGTCGTGGGGAGGGGAGGCCTGGCCGTCCTGTCTCCGAGCCTGGCCGTCCTGTCTCCGAGCCTGGCCGTCATGTCTCCGTGCCTGGCCGTCATGTCTCCGGGCCTGGCCGTCCTGTCCCCGGGCCTGGCCGTCCTGTCTCCGTGCCTGGCCGTCATGTCTCCGGGCCTGGCCGTCCTGTCTCCGGGCCTGGCCGTCCTGTCCCCGGGGCCGTACCCTCAGCCAGGACAGCTTGATCCGCTCTCTGGTCAGGTGCGGCCACCACTCCTCGTCCTCCTTGGCCAGTGTGATCTGCACGTTGCGGTCCGACAGGTGGTACTTGGTCTCCTGCGATCGGGCACGCCGTTAGGGCAACAACGGCACAACATATGGTGGGTAGAGCGAGGATAAATTCAACACTGTGCATTAGACTCCGCACCTTAAGTTAATCACACTGGCTGGCAGAGAGCGCTACACCCGCGGTCCTCAAACTTGGCACGAGTGTCCCGTCCACGGCCCGCTGACCCGCCCGAGTTGAGCCGCGTGTGACGGTGCACCACGTGGTCAGCTCTTGAGTTACCCACCACGTGACTGACGGCAGCCAACCAGGCCAGACTGTTCGCGCCAGACAGGGCGCCACAGGACGGTGGACGGCTATGACCAACCCAAGAGCAACATAACAGGCATGAAAAAGTGAGGCGAGAAACCATACCAGACAGCTCTCTTGGCAACACGCAAGTGCCACTGAGCTAATAAACTCAAACACTGTGGTCAATGTGTCGACTATCTAGCTGAGACAGCTTAAAATTTATTTACTGTGGTCTCATTAATCTGCCAACCAACTGCCAGCAAACTTACATCTGGATTCACCAGTTGATACCAATTCAGTTTGAAGGCATACAGCTGACTCCCTGAATTACCGAGGGCTTTTGCTTCAAAAGATAGCTGCTCAGGCAGCAAATCAATGTCAGGGTCCTGCAACATGGCATACAGTTTAGCAGCACCAACACCAACAACACATGTCCTTGCAATGCCAACATATAACAATGTCAGCTAAATAGTAAGATTTAGTGAAAGACAATCTACCACACAAGTCATGTGTAACATAGTTTGGGGGCAGTTATTGTATCACACATGTGGTATTGTATGATCACATGATCACAGTCATTCATAACAAACCATATACAACTGATGTTTGGTAGTGCTCTCTATGCCCTCCATAATCCGATAAATAATGTGTTCCAGGCCTGGGACAAGGTAGGAGTCAGAATTTTATACTCACAGAAAGTGTCTTTTGGAAACTATGGCTGTAATACAGTAGAACATTATACATTGCCTCATTACAATCCTATAAGATCTTGGAACTAAGACATGCCTAGCCTTCCCTCTTTCATTTTGACAAAATGTTCCTCAGTGCTGAAATGTCACCTCACCCCACAACACACTATGGTCAGCCTTAATAACACGTTTTAAATCCCCAACTGGCCCACATAAACATTACTTTTGGCCCTAGAGCATTAGTTTTCTTAGCTAAAGAAATTCTACCTGTCTCACCCTTATAACTATTTCCCATCAACACAGTGAAACAATGAGTTCTTTTTTTTTCTCATTCCACTCATCTTTTGGCTTTGCTGCTCCAGCTTCTCGACCAGATCCGTGTTTAGGTAAGACGCCGCACTTTTGAGTTGAGTTGTGGTATCTGAGTGACCTGCTCTGCCATTTCCTTTGTTTACAATAACATATGAAAGGTTTTGCATCAGCATAATCCCCTTGTTTTCTCGCTTGGTATGTGCAGGCTATCTCCTGTCTTTCTGATGAACCCCCTGATGGAAATATCCACCATACAAAGGAGAAAAGGTGTGTATGGATTTAAGCAACTTTTCAGGGGAAAGTTTTTCGATTTCCCGCTGTATCCGACTATTGGTTGGTGGTAAATGCTTGAATCATACGCCATTGAATTTGTCACCTTAAAGTGAATCACTCCGAATACTGCTTGGCTGATCTTAATACATGAACTTCACAGAAATTCCTGGGATGCTTTAAAATTTTGACCTATGTAGCAACAAACATGGATTCCACAACGTAGAAAAAGCGCGAACACAAAGGATGCTATCAGAAAAAGTACAAGTTCACCAGCATATGCAATGTGTGTGTGTGTGTCATTGGGGCTGTACGACGCACTCAGCTGCTGAGGCTATATGGCGTCGCCTGCCTCTCACCCTGGCAGGAAGGGCGGGCACCGGGGGGAATCGAACCCCGTACCTCTGGTTTCCCAGACGCGCAGTGGTTAACGCAGACGCGTTAACCACGCGTCTGGTGGTAACGCAGACGCGTTGACCACTACATCACCCGCATCCCTGCAGCGTATGCAGTGAAAAAGCGCAAGTGCGGACATGCACCTTTTCTCATGGTGTGGTGTACATTTCAGGGCATGAGGGCAATCACAAATATACACAAAGTTTATCATTCAAAGCAGCAACTACAACTGATTTTCTGATTTTCGTCGTGGATTGGCTGGAATTTGATAACCTATAGTAACATGCTTAAGCGTAGGGACAGCAAAACTACGGGGATTTGACCCGGCTTTGAAGCGGGCGGTGATCGCACTTCCTTTTGCAGCATCGTAGACAGCATCCTGCCCACCTACCCTGAAGAGCTAAGGGAAGTGGGATGCTGTGGCTGGACGGCGGCGAGCTCTCCGGTGGGATAAGATGCCGGCGGAGAAGCGGGAGGCTGTGGCTGGACGGCACCGAGCTCTCCGGTAGTGCCAGATGGCGGCAGAGAAGCGGGAGGCTGCTAGTGGATGGCGTTCGAGAAAGGGCACAAGCGCAGACATGTACTTTTTATTAACTGAATCAGTGGAGGGAAACTAGAAATTGTTTTTTTCCCTGTAGCATGCTGCACTCACGCTTTTTACATTGCAGATGAAACTTGTTCTGTAGTTGTTTTTTTTGGAAATTAAAATATAAAATTTTGAGCATTTGGGGCTGATTACAAATATATTTTTGATGATGGGGATCATTATTGACAACCTGGAGGTGCAAAGACCCCAAATGGCAAAAATTGCACTTGTGCTTTAGTTCCTTTGCATCTCATATATGTCATATCCAAATGGTTCATGATAAAAAGCATGATCAAAAACTGTTTCAGTATTTGATAGGGAACAAATGTGACTGGGTAACCTGGAGTTCCAGAGTTTTCATTAGTACATTGGCAACTGCAACATTATTCTCCCCATCACTGTGCTCTATGGCATCATTTCTGAACATAACATTTACCATTTGTCCCACAATATCTCATACAAAAATGAAATATTGCTGTTTGATATATATATATATATATATATATATATATATACATATTTAGATATTGCTGTTTGCATGTCACTACCTCCTTTCTGCAACACTTCTTCTGGCTTTGTTTTCCCTGCAAGTGGCATAACTTTCTTTCACTTTCAGAGGCAGAATGTACTTCATGTATGGGACACTGGGATGTGGGATCTTGGATGATTGATTAGGGTCACTTTTTTAAGATTGGCACAGGTTTGGAGCATGTTCTGCCTCTCACATGTCTATGTCTTTCGGTCCTACTTTTTTACTCAATATCATTCACATGTAACCATGGAACTTGGAACAAAGAACACCAAAAAATATACTGCAATAATTGCCCAATGTCACCAGTCATCATGATTAATGAGAAAATCTGGTTTACACATGAAATGGAAAGGTTGATGCAATCAAATTTTTGGACATGGGTCACAAGAAAACCAAGCAGTGTTGTTGGAGACGTCAGCACAAAGAATGAAAAAAACATATAGACAAACATATCAGGTCTGTATTTGAAAACATCAGACTGGTCCATGTAGTCTGTGTCTAGGGCTTCAATGAAAGACGTCCATACCAAGCCATTTTGTACGTCACAGGGTACAGAAAATAGTTGAATAGATGAAATCATAAGAGCAAATAGCCAACTGGTGAAGCACATAAGAAAGAAACCCAGATTGAACATGATGAAGAAAACAACAGTGTGGAGCAGGATGAAGACAAACAGCCTGTTTATTGCTTGCCACAAAGGGATTGGTGAAAAACTCCCTAGCATAGAGAAATATCACATAGCAGTGGCTTTCAAACCTTGGCCTGTTCTTAAAAATTGAATAGGAAGACCAAAAGATAGATTACATGACTCACAAAAAGAACACCTGGTTATCATGTCAACAGTTTACTACTGAATGGTAATAAAGGAAAATTGGCTAAAAGAAACAGTGCTGCAGATCATTTCAGGATTTAAAATCATCTTCCCAAAATTGGTCAAAATGTCCTATACAATGGCTTAACTCTAGTACAATAAGGTTGACTTAAAATCATGAATAAGAAAGGCCCAGGTACACATATTTCACATAAAATGAGACTTAAATGGGACACCTAGACAAGTGTATTCTCATATCTGGGTGTGCACGGCTTATATTTATCTAAAAACAGTTTAAAATGCAATGTTTAAACCAGACAAAACTGAAAAGACTTTGGGGCCCTTCAATCCCATGCTTCAAAAAAGAGCATTTTGCAAAAGTCATCAGATGGATATTGACATCCAAGTAAACCAGCAGTATTTTTCAACTAATGAAATCAATTTGTACAGACCTCCACATCTCTCAAATCAATCTTCAGGTGGATTGTTGATTTTGTCTGTGACCAGTACACAAATGGACAAACAGCATCTGCCATTTTCCCTGATGAAATAGTTCACTTGTTCTTATTGCTGTCAAGTTCTGAAAAAAGAAAAACAGTAAGTGCACAGGACAACTATTCATTAGGATGCACACACCATGCTATCCCTGAGCTAGGCATTAAAGCCAGCCTGCAAAAAATCCATCTACTATGTGATATGCTTGAGGCATGTGTGGTGGACCTTGATCACATGCATTGCACTCATACTGTGCTGAACTGCATCAAATTTTGAATGTGTATGGTGAAATGTGTCAAAAGTATTTATGACTGAAATTAAGCCTGCAACATTACAATTTTTTCAAAATATTGGCTCTGTGCTCTGAAATTAGTGACAAGGAAAACCCAAACTAAAAGCATTCAAATTTGTCTTGCACACACTCTGGGATTATGGTGGGATGCTGGTGCTATGTCTGAAATGTTCACCATGTTTTGCAACCTGGCATTAAAACATGCCACCCCTGCCCCAACTCATTATCCCACGTTAGAGTTAACTGCTTTCCACCAGTTTATTAAGTGTAGCCCACATTTCATTGCACATTTCTACGGCCTCAGGTTTCCGGCCCATCACCAACATACACATCCAGCGCTAAAAAGTCGCGAAACGGACGAATATGTTGATTAGCCACACCACTGTCCCAATGATGAATGCCCTGAAATGAATCAACCCTGTTATGTGACTCAATATGTGCTATTGGCGGTCGGAGTACCCAAATTAATTTTTAAAAACCACATCTCCGACCTAACACACCACCCAGCGATAATCCTCACACTGATTCCCCGATATACTCACATGAACTCGTCACCGCCCGCCAACCCCCGTCACCTACCAGCCTAAGCCGGCTTACAGCTATCAGAAAATGGCTATCATGGCGCTGTAGTTACGGTTACTAAACTACAGCACATTTTTTCGCAGGAAATAGGTGGAAACTACTGCTAAACATAAAAATGATGTGGCGAACAGGAGACCGGTAAAAATAAATGGTGCAGGACGCTATATCCAAGGATTACAAGGATCCAAAGGTCACAATGGTTTTCGGGTTTACCCTAGCGTGAAACAAAGGCCACAGGAGCAAGCTTGTGGTTCGCTTCAGGTCGAGTTGAAAATCAGAATACAATTCAGAATGGTGCTGGACCCAAAAGGGAACCACGGGGCCATGGTGCTCTTGGGCCCCGAAGGACCCATATGTTCAGAAGGGACCCATCACGGGCTTGATGGATGCAGGTTTTCAACACGAAACGCAACGAAATTGGACGTCTTTCGGCCTCTAGGCGGCCAAGATTGGACGCTAGTAAAAGCGAAGGACACGTGACCTCACAAAAATGATTATTCGCTTATTGATAAGATGTTGATCAAAGAAGTTTTAAGGCCCATACCTCTGTCCAGACGCCGTGCGCTGTCGCCAGGAGTCCTATAAATCCACTGGTTGGCTTAATCTGATCGCTAAGGAACCTTCCACGATTTCGCTGCATTCGCCTGAATGGCGATGTACGCTGTTGTCGGGGCCCTTTGTACATGGAACCTGCCGGGGCACTGTTGATCGACCCGGGGTCCTCCACGGACTATTTCCATTCCCCGGAAGGCTCTGCGCGCCATTGTCGGGGCACTGTTGATCGATCAGGGGTCCTCCACGGACTATTTTCATTCCCCGAAAGGCTCTACGCGCCATTGTCGGGGCACCATTTCACCTGCTAGGCTGATCTCGGTTGCTCTGGGGTTCTTCACAATGGTCTCGGATTTTTTACACTTGCTTCGAGGGTCCTGCACTGTTGATGGGAGCTACATATGTTTACGTGCCGAGGCAGTCGATACTTAGAGACTCTCTGCATTGGCCTAGGCCCCTTTCCATTTGATTTCAGTAAGGTAGAAACCTGCGCTCTTGTCATAGTCTCCTGCGCCCTTTCTGCTAACCTGCCTGCACACTCTTGATCGCATAGGAGCATGCCAAATTTATTTATTTTGTCCATTTTCTCTCATCGCTAACAGAGCAGCACTCCACTAACTGGCGAAGCCGCTTAAACAAAACACAGCAAGTACAAAGTACGCCATATATCAAAGCCAAGTGAAGGTGCTACATAGTTAAAACATGCCTGGCAACTTGAACTCTAAAACGCCGACACTGTCATGAAAGATATCCGCAGTAATGCTGTTCGCTAAAAAGGTGTTCCCAACGCTTGGCAGTCTGCAAAACAGACCGCTCTGTACTGTCTGCACACGAGCGCGAGGTACAGCGAGCATAGTTCAGTTGCGGGTCGATTGAGGCGACACAAGCGAGAGGGAGCGGCCTGACAAGATTTGGGAGTCCTGTTTACCTTGGAAGAAGTCTCTGAGAAAGAGTTAAGCAGAAGGCTGTCATACGAAAGGGAAACTGTTTGGCCAGGGTGTGTGTGAGAAGGTAGCCAAATAAGAAGCTTAATTGCTGCACTCCATCGATTCGCACTGTGAGGATATAGGCTGCCCGCATCCAGACAACGCTACAATATTCTGAAACCGGTCGGACGTGTGCAAAATACGTAGCCATCACTGCGCTTCCGTTGAATTTTGACCCGGTGGTACCGACGCGGAAGGATCCAGTAATGAGACTAAGTGTTAGATTACCCCTACTGACCATGTCAAAAACACGTGAAACGAAGGTTATTTTGGAATCCAGCGTTACGCCAAGGTCCCTAATTTTACACACATGTTCAAGCTTAGTTCTATTGCTAAAATACTTGATCAGGACTGGAACACGCCTGGAGCATGTCATCGTAAGCGTTTTACAGGGTTGAGGGTTATCCCCCACCCGACCGACCACGCAAGCAGATGATCGAGATCATTCTGCAGCCGCAGGCCGTCAGCCGGTGACGTACTTTTGCGGATGGTTTTTACGTCACCGGCATAAAAAAGACAGCCGAATTCAATGACGCACGGATGATCACTAATAAACAGTGAAAAGGGAAAGGATCGAAGAGTGATGCTTCCTAGACGCCGGAGGTCAGCAGTTTCCAATCGGAAGTTTTCTGTACACGGTAACCCTCCGAAGTCTGTCGAATAGATACAAGACAACTATCGTAGTGCAGATTCCCTCAGATGTTATGAGTGTTTAAGCTTTTGGATTACGAGCTCATGGTTAACGTTCCGAAAATCAGCCGAATAATCGATGTAAATGGCATCCATCTGGCATCCGTCCGACATTGCCTCCAAAGCCGACTTCAGGTAAACACACAAGTTCGTGCTGCACGAACGCCCAGGAATAAACCATGCTGATGATGGCACAACGCAGGCGAGACGTGGCGGAGCATCTCATCATACGCAGCCCGTTTCAGAATACTTCCGAAGAGAGAAAGCAGAGATTTACTTATGTAATCTAACGGCTCCTTTTTGTCGTCTTTCTTGAAAATTGGTGTGATTTTGCCTGCTTCCAGCTCCCCGGGAAGAGACCGGAACACATCGAGAGGTTACAAATCTTGGTCAGCGAGGCGACTAACTCGTCAGAACACCTAACATGTACATTGGTCTCGGACCCTTTCCATTTGGCAGGAGGGCCCTGGGGGTCTGGCCGGTGTCCCATGTGCTAAAATGTCGGGGCACTCCTGATCGCTCAGGGGCCCAGCACATTAGTGGCTTGGGCTCTTCTCGCTTACTCGGAGGACCCTGCCCTGTTGGCGGGAGCCTCTTCGTTGATCTGCCGTGGCTTTACAGTCCTTATTGGTCTTGAGTTTCCCCGTTTGATGGAGGGCCGTCGTTGTTAACGGGGAGCTAAATGTTAACCGGCCGGGGTAGCCTCGATCGCTCTGGGGACCCCACCCGGGCTCTTGCCATGAAGTCATAGGGACCTTACTCCGTTACCGAAGCCCTCACATGCACGCCTGCGAGCGCCAGCACTTTCGCCACTCATGGCATTTCGCCTGCTCGTGTATACGCTGTAGGGGCCTAGCAAAGTTCATTCGTGTGCACAAGTCCGAGATACAACAGCTGTTTTCAACAGCTGTTTTCCTTCGCACCGCGGCCGTAGAAAGCAGCAGCCGGGTATGCCCCGACGAATTTGACGCGCGATTGTCTAAGATAAGTTTACGCGCCGCCGTACACCTCATTCCGTTGCTTATTGAATCGGTGACACTTATTAGGCTTGTGGCTCATGCTCTGGACACATTTTGAACACTAACAATTTTGTTCATCTTCATTATAGTCAAAACAAAAACTCTGCATAAGTCATTAGTTACCAGCCCATCAAATCGACTCGCCGACCAGCCGCCGGAAACTGGCTAGCTGCAACCAACTTTGGAATAAAGTGCGGGGCCCTATTTAACTGTATTGTGACAACTGCCAAACCGTAGTTTATCCAGGAAGTAGCACACCGTCGAACTAGGACACCCATTATGCAACACACGCAAGGGACTCATTAGTTGGCAACTAGTCATACACCGCACGCAGCCTTGAGAGCTAGCATAAGGGCATGTAGCATGCAGCAACGAGAGCGTCCACGACCGCATGCACCAAGCAACCACCATGCAAGCCACTACCGCATACGACACCAACAGCACATGCACAATTGCCAAGGCATGCACATGCAACACGTCACAGTATTTAGCGGACAACATAAACTCATTTTGTCATTTGTTCTCCAAAAACGTGACCTCAACATGGAAAGAATCGTCATAAACGGGGAGAATAAACGCACTCTAAGAATGTGCAAGCGCACCACGTCTAGTTTTCTAAGGCGCCACACAGGAAGATGAATCCCCATATACCAAATAGCATGCATAAGAATCTTAAAGGTTAATGGCCTAGGATTTTTGGGAGGGGTCCACAACGTTGCGCGCCCTCCCCCCCCCCCCCCCCTCCGCTTCGGACTGAATTCTGGATCTGCCACTGATTTATAATCATCAAGCATTTCGCTAAGTCAGAGTAAAATTAATTTCTTTAAAATTGTCTTGCGAGCGGGATCAGCTGGCGTCAACCGAGTCATCAATGAGCCGACTCGAGTACCTACAGCTAAACGCAACTGCACATGCTTACGTGACGCCGGATATATACAAATAGATGCGTACGATGCGGTACATGGCTGCATACCGTGACCGCATGATCTAAAAGTGTCTTATGTGGCCTTTGACATGAATATCCACAGCCTACATTGCGTATGGAGAGGGAGAAAGAGCCTTGATGGAGCGTAACCAAAGCGCATCAAGGGGTCAGGGGCATTTTGGACGCCGTAATGTTAAGCTTAATGTGTTTATTATTTTTAACAGCAAAACCGAGAGGAGGGGATTGAAAAAAACAAGGATGTGTAGCACTATGTTTGTCAGACTTTTTAAAACCCAATCGCACAGCCTAACTATCTCACTCCCGTTCTTACCGGAATTAGCTCCATCGGGTTAAACTTGTAATTAAGTTATTGCTCACTGAGTCGCAAAGTCGTGCAGCGCTGCTTGGAATAGGAGTCGAACAAAGGGGCACCCTACTTCGGGGAAAATTCATTAAAAAAATATGCTCTGGTGAAGTTTCAGGAGCAATTACGTTTAATAAAAACGCTGGGTAGTGGCACTGCAGCACCGTCAAGACATTACAAAGATATCAATTTTAATTATTTTCAATCCCAAATCATACTGTCAGCGCTTTGTAAAAGGCATTACAGTTCTTTCCTGCAGTCGTGACCACTATCGTCGTGGCAACAACCGAACGCGCCTCTACTAGTGCAAATAAAAGAACGCTTGTCATTGGCCCAGCGCCTGTTA